TTTTTATGTATATAATAATGTATCACCAACACACCACACACACACCACACACACACACACAACCACACACACACACACACACACCACACACACACCACACAACACACATACACCACACAAGCCAACCACAGACACAACAGGACACACACACAGATCACACACCCATCACAGACACGACATCAGAACGACACAGACACAGACACCACACACACACACACACACCACAACACACACACACACCACACAACACACACACACCACCACACACACACACACACACACACAACACACACAAACCACAAGAAATTCCTCGCTCGCATAAATAATTATAGTGAATGAGGGCGACAATAATCAATCATCACATAGAGGTAACCCCAGAAGAAGAAGAAGCTGAAGAAGAAGAACAATAACAAGAAACAAACATGCACCAGCTGCCAACATGGAGAGCCCCCTCCGCCTCTCTAGAGCAATAATGATAAGAAGATGAGAGGAAGAAGAAGAAGAAGAAAAGGAAGAAAAGTAGACAAACAAACAAAACATGCATTATCCCCATACCCAAACACACTATGGACAGAACGACTCACCGCTATGGTAGCCCCTTACAACCGTTAACGTACGTACCTGACCGTGTCATAACAGGGTGACTTTAATGACTTCAAGAAGTAATTATCATGAATCCATATACTGAAAATCAAAATAAGCCGTGGCTGAATGAGGGAGTAATTAACGCACATCCGAAAAATGTCTCTTCTCTCCAAAACAATAATAAATGATATTGAGAATGGAAGATAAAAGAACAAGCAATTGCCACTCTGATGACATAGGTCAAACTATCAGCCTGAGAGCGGTGTCGCTGGTTTCCAATCCCCTCCCCCATCACCAGGGAAAAAAGAAGAAAGAAGAAGCAGACAACATGCACCTAGCTGTAGGTGTTAACAAGGTGATTCACCCTCCCCCCCCTTCATTCTCCACATTCCCCCTATGCCCCCCATTATCCAAACACATGTATGGACTTGCCGGTATCCCTTAATACGTACACAAGACAGTGTCATAACAAAGTATGACATATGGGGGGTGCCTTCCCCCTCCTTCTCAAAGCAATGAATAATGGCTATATAATCTCATGTCTGAACATGAAGAGGAAGAAGGACGAAAAAAGACAAACAAACATACGGTACCCCAGAATGCATGGCAGAAGGTCAGGGTAATTGAATCCATCAACAGGATGTTAGTATAACCCCCTCCCCCTTCTTAGGTTGAAAGAGGGGTCATATTCCGAAAGCTGAGTTAGGTCACAGAGCTATTCACCGTGTTTAAGCGTGGTAGCAAAACAAAAACCTGCACAATAGACCGATAGGACAACTAGATGCGATAAGGTTAAGAAATATTGATCTTGAGGGGGAGGGGTGTGCGAGGGAAAACGATTCATGAAACTTTTGATGAAAGTAATTATATTCAGCCTTCCATCATGTTTTAACAACGCAAGTTTTAAGCTTAAACCGCTTAAAGCATCCAATATAAGAATACAATGCGATTGAAAAGGATGAAAAAAAATCGTTTACGTACTCAATATACCTATTATTATCACCTTCAATATATAACTACCACAAAATAATAGACATGCTTAAATCATACTTAGGGCCCTATATCCATCTCCGCGCGTTTAACTAAATAAACCTAACCTCTTCCTTCATCGCATACATGAATTGCCGAGATTTGGCCATGGCGCGTCGCTTCTCGGAACGAGTCGGACGACATCGATGGAGTGCGAGAGGGGCGTTCCGGTAACGAAGATGATACATGCCAACCACATCCGTGAACGACGGCGCTGCAATCATCAATCTCGAGGTGCAACCAAACAAGAAAGAGAAATGCTATATTTAACCAAAAAAAGCCCCCTGAGGTTTTTTAAAGATCCTTACATCAATACAAATATATAGCATTTGGCAAAGTCCAAATTCTCATTCCATGGAACACATGCCAAAAAAATTGACTCGCAAAACCGTAAATGATCTTTTTCACAAATGCGCATTATAACAAGGGAGCAGTCCTCGCATGAATAACCAAGGAATTACTTTCCTTTCGTGGTCGGATTACTAACTTTGAGACCTCCACTCATCTTTTAAAACATGTTATATGCAGCCCATTCTTATTATTTCAAATGCCTTCTTCACAATAATACCAAGATGTCAGCGAAAAGGATCATTAACTACATTTTTTCTCAATGTCTTTTTTATGAGTTTTCGCCTTATACACAACTACACATTCCTTAACACTTAATCAATGCACCTGATAATCATATATATATTCGACTTAAATATTCACTCGCAAATATAAATGCGGCAACCCCACCGTCATATGCCACATGTATTGATTGTCTTAATTTGCTCGAAGATATAATTATCCCGCCCGCACCAACCGATATATAGACATCAATTAAAACCCTCATTCTACTTGTAGTATCTACCAAGCTCGCGAAAATAGTAATAGTGTAACGATTTAATTTCTTCTCTAACTCATTGCAAGTAGGTCTTTAATTGCATCGTCCAGCCTATTTGTGTAAGTAAGTTTGTTTCTGACTGGTTAGACGAGTTCGGATACCGTGACACCGTATTCCCTAACTTTGACAGAAAATGTTAAGGAATTCCATTCTTTCTACGTTCTGCTTTATGCAACTACAGACCGACCTACGTAATTAGATTAAGAATAGCTTCCCTTTTTTGATATATAAAAAATCACTAAGAAACATGTGTGATGGTCCTCCATTTTATGACAATATAAAAAAGAAAATCAACACGAAATGCTGGCTATTTTAGGTGATTTAACCCAACCTTTATATACCCTCAAAATCGCCTATATTACAAGTTATAATGACAAAGACAATGAACCATGCAACTCCCTCGTTGGTACAGTAATCTACCCTTGTCAAAGCGTGGCTCACTGTCAGAATGATTTTTGTCTTATAAGAACAGAAACCGCATTGTAAAAAGGTAAAAAATAACCTTGCTTGAGAGCATAATTCAACCAAAACTCCAGTAATTCGTCTATTCTCACCTGCCAACAAATGTGCGGTAAATCGAAGAAAATAACTTGCTATCTTCAGAGATGGTCACCTCTCGTCGGCCTACTGTCATTTACTTTTTGGGGAACGCTCATCTAGGCACCATTTTTAAAAAGTAATGCACCCTTACATTGTATCTAATCTCCCTGTGCAAAGAGAAACAACTATTTTTACACCGTCATTGAATAAAACTTGCTACTCGACTTTCTTCAATATATTTTCTGATAAAAATCTACCATTCATGTCAGATTAAGAAACACTGATATGTCAAACATCTCCTGGCTAAGAATAATGTTTTACTAAGTAATTCACTAATTTGCCATAGCGACGAAACCCGTTAAAGGTCTCCTAAAACAATTTCTATCTTAAAAAAAAAGTAACAAAGAGAAGGTTTTCAGCAATTTGTAACACTTTTTTTACGTTTTTAGCCATAGGCTCTTTAATCTATCAAAGGTCTTTGATTAGATATGAAGACGTTTTAGGATAAAATGATATTCTCGTTTGGCATTCTTGTCATAGAGTTTTTATATTTTACCTGTATTACGCACATTTAGGGTGACCTTAGATGAGCCTAATGTCCGTCTATATCTACTTATCTAATTATTAATAGATATATAGTATATAATATAATCTATAATACACATAATATCCATATCTATATGTATTTATATTTATATACATTAATATATTTAATTATTATAAATATATATAATATTATTATTTAAATTATGTATATATATGTATATATGTATATATATATGTGCATATATTATATATATTATATATTATATATATATATATATATATATATATAATATATATATATATACACACATGTGCATTTCACATACGTGTACACATTGAATAATGAATATATTATTAATTTATATATATTATATATATATACTATACTTAATATATTATATATTATATATATATAATATATACTATATTTATTATATATTATATATATGATATATATATATATATATATATATATATATATATATTTTATAATTATAGTACATATATATATATACATTATATATATTAATATATTATATATATGTATATATTATTATATTATGTATGTTGTGATATATGTGTGTGTGTGTGGTGTGTTGTGTGTGTGGTTGTGTAGTGTGTTGTGTGTGTGGTATGTATTGCATTACTATGTATATAGTATATTATTATATGATATATTATTATATATATATGAATTAATAACTATATATATTGTATTGTGTATTAGTATATATAACGTATATATTATAATATATATATATAGTATTATATATATATATATATATGTATGTAATATGTATTTATGAGTTAGTATATGTTTTCTTGTATATATGTATATATATGCTTATATATATGTATGTACATGTGTGTGTATATATATTATTATTTTATTATATATATATATTATATATTGTATTTATATTTTACTATATGTATATAATGTATTTATGATACTTTATATATATCTTATAGTATATGTATGTGTGTATTTGTTATTTATATATTATAGTATGTGATTATATTTATTGTATATTATAATATATAATCTATGTGTGTGGTGTGTGGTGTGTGTGTGTGTGTGTGTGTGTGTGTGTGTGTGTTGTGTGTAGCGTTGTGTGTATGTAAATACATATATATGCTATCATGCATGTACACCAACACAACACACAACACACACACAACACACACACACACCACACACACACACACATACACAACACACACACAAACACACACACACACACACACACACATGCATGTAATGTGTATGTTTGTCAAAAATGTCACTCGTCATTAAATCATCAATGTCTTTAAAACGCTGGCACAGGATATTCATTTTCGAATAATATAAATCAGCTGCAGCAGACCACCCTTTGTATTACTCTGGATATTCCCCGCGTGTTCTGCCAGGCCG